TCAATTCTGTTTGCAGCCTCTTATCTTCCAGAGGACTGGCTTCTTTTTCTTTTCTTTTTTATTTATTTTTATTGATTTCAGAGAGGAAGGGAGAGAGAGAGAGATAGAAACATCAATGATGAGAGAAAATCATTGATCGGCTGCCTCCTGCACGCCCCCCACTGGGGATCGAGCCTGCAACTCGGGCATGTGCCCTTGACTGGAATCGAACCCGGGACCCTTCAGTCCACAGGCCAACACTCTATCCACTGAGCCAACCTGGCTAGGGCAGGACTGGCTTCTTAACATGGAGTTCTCAGGGCAGAATCCTGGGCTCGAAAGTCTCATAAAGTCACTTCCTCACATTTTATTGGTCAAAGCAAGTCAAACACCAGCCTGGAGCTCACTTGTTCCTTATTGGCTCTCTTGCATCGGATGCCCATTCCCGGACCAATCACTAGCAGGGGAATAAGATTACCCTTAGACCCATCAGGGTTTCTCAAGGATCTAGGGTTGAGGTCACTTCTTGAGGCATCTGGGCTGAGTGTGTGGCCGTGTGGGTGGACACTTGAGAACAAAACTGCAGGCACGGGAGGGGTCATTGCTAACCACTGTTAAAATTGGGCGAAACTTCTTTCTAGGTATTTTACAGATGCAAATAAATGCAAAAGGTCTTCCTGCCTTCCACACTTGTACTGAGAACGCTTTGCTGGGAGACTCTTGGGACCATGGCCTGAATGGGGCCCGGTTTCTTGGGCATAATCATAACATGACTTTTCTTTTTAATGGAAGCAAGTGGAAATAACAGATTAAAACCATGTTTCAAAAACTAGACTAAAACATAGATAATATTTAAAATTCTCTTAACATAATTTCAAATTTACAGAGAAGTTGCAAGAATAGTACAGAAAACTTCCATATCTCCTTCACTCAGATCCCCTAATTGTCAGCATGTTGCTACACTTGACTTGTTATTCTTTGTCTGTGTAATTTTTATGAGTCATTTAAGAGTCAGTTATAGATATGATGTTCTTTTACCCCTAGACTTCAATGTGCACCTCCTAAGAATCAGGACATTCTCTTACATGACCACCCTATAGTTTTCAAAAGCAGGAAATTTAATGTTGATACAAGGTTATAATATAATTGCTATTGTCCATATTTAAATCCCACTAGTTGTTTGAATAATGGCATGAAATCCTTATTCTTAAACTAGTGGCTACCAAGGTCATTGCACCATCTTCCAAAGAGCTGGATGTGCACCTTCCCAAAGAGAAGAAAATCAATTATATTCACAAATCTGCTGAAGTAATCTGTGCCTAGAAACCCTACTCACAGGCTCTGTGAGTGTCAGCGTTTCTCAACTGGAAACGATTTGGGCTCCCAGGGGACATTTGGCAGTGTCGGGAGACTTGTGGTTGTCACGCTGGGGGTAGAGTTAGGCTACTGGCATCTTGTGGGTTGAGGCCAAGAATGCTGCTAAACATCCTACCCACCAGCACAAGACAGCCCCCACCACAGGGAATTCTCTGGCCCAAAATGTCAGTAGTGCTGGGATTCAGAATCTCTGATCTATAAATCAATTGGATTTAAAATTCTCCCCTGCAATTCTATTTCTCCCCAGCTACCCTGGAAAACCCTGGTCTTATAGGCATAGGGAGGCCCAGCCACGTCTGTTTTATGATAATTTCAAACTGGAACTAACCCACATGCCCCATTAGGAGGAGACTGATAAAATAAAACAGCGCGGGCAGTCTGCACTCGTGGCTCTTCCCTGGGCTCTGTTTGCTGTTCTGTAAGATGGGGCTGAGGAGGTGGGATTGGAAGGAAGCCAGTGATCTTGGGCCCAGCTGCTACTCGATGACTTATGGTCATCACTGCTTCTGACTCATGCATGAGTGACAGGTTGAGGATACGTGGTGATACGACTCCAGGCTTCTATAGACAGGAGGCTGCCCTAGAATGTCTCCCCATTGAAATCCAGGGCAGGGCCTCTGCTGAGTCACCTCTGGCTCAGGGTCTGGCTTATTTGAAAAGCAGCTGCCATTTCTTTAGTGCCAAATGTGCAGTAGGCTCCATGCTGAGTCTATTAGTGCATTGTGACTCTCACAACTCCCACGTGGGATGAGCACACATACTCACCTGTCTTCATTTTATAAATGAGGAAATGGAGGCTCAGAGAGGCCATGACCCACAGCTGGGAAAGACAGTGAGGGTTCAACCCTCACGTGGGTCAGGTCTGCTGCACCTTCTCCCACACATGGTAGGTGCTCAGAAATGTATGAGTGGCAGGGATTGGACAATATGTTCATTGGTAACAGAACGCTGAGTTTTAGCAGAAAACGTGTTAGCTATGTTAGTTAGTGCCTTCCTTGTAGCAGTATAGGACATATGACTAATTCCAGCCAATAGAATGAGAATGGAAGTGGCAGAAGAGATTGTGGTTTGTGCCCTTAAGGAGGCTGAATTCTATTTCCTTTTCTCAACTTCCCAACAGCAGGAATATAGATGTGATGGCAGTGCTAGAGCAGCCGCATTGGGCCATGAGATGGAAATTGCTGGTTGAAGGTGGAAGAGTTATAAGATAGAAAGAGCCTGAGTCCCTGACACCATAAAGCCACCATCCAAACTCTGGCTACTTTCATTCAGATGATGTGAGAGAGGAAAATTATTTTCTTGCCCAGGAGACACTTATTACTTGAGCCTTTCTTACAGCATTGGACCTATATCTCACCAATTTCTTTTGTTAAATGACTAGAGGCCTGGTGCACGATCCCTCAGCCTGGCCTGTGGGATCGGGCTGAAACCGGCTCTCCAACATTCCCAGAGGGGTCCAGGATTGTGAGAGGGCACAGGCCAGGCTGAGGGACCCCACTGGTGCATGATTGGGGCTGTGGAGGGACGCAGGAGGTTGGCCAGCCGGGGAGGGGCTGTGGGAGGGCTCCAGGGCATGTCGGGCAGTCTTAGTCCCAATCGGCCGGACCCCAGCAGCAAGCTAACCTACCAGTTGGAGGTCTGCCCCCTGGTGGTCAGTGCACGTCATAGCAAGGAGTTGAGTGGCCTTAGCATATCATTAGCATATTATGCTTTGATTGGTTGAATGACCGACCGGCCGACAGGACACTTAGCATATTAGGCTTTTATTATAGAGGATTGAATGGGTGATTGAATGTCAGAGAGAGCAGTCAGATCCAGGCCCACCCACATATAAAAATGCACAAAGACCAAACTCGAGCCGAGGGTGGAAGCACTGTCCAAGTACAGTAGAAAAATTCATAGCCGGAGGTAGCCAGTTCTAAACCTGGCCCTTCCACTAGCTTGCTGTGTTTCTCTGGACAACATATGTGCTCTCTCTGGGCCCCCCACTCCTCAGTTGTAAAACAGGCTTAGTGAGTTCATGGAATCGATGCAATTTCAAGATGTTCAATGCTCTTTGAAATTTCACTCCCAGGAATCCATTCCCAAGGAAATTGTCACCTCATAGCTTATGAACACAGGTGCAAGGATATAGCTTAGTTTGTGGAGCAAAAACTTGGAAATATCCTTAGGAGTGATTTAAATAAACTATGGCACATTCATGATTTAGAGCAGTGATGGCGAACCTTTTGAACTCGGCGTGTCAGCATTTTGAAAAACCCTAACTTAACTCTGGTGCCGTGTCACATATAGAAATTTTTTTGATATTTGCAACCATAGTAAAACAAAGATTTGTATTTTTGATATTTATCTTATATATTTAAATGCCATTTAACAAAGAAAAATCAACCAAAAAAGTGAGTTCGCGTGTCACCTCTGACACGCGTGTGTCATAGGTTCGCCCTCACTGATTTAGAGCATCAAACTGCTGTGGACATGGGCATTCTCTGGTGACACTCGCTGGCACAGAATGACACTGCAGCTCAGCAGCTGGGCAAAGAGAATTTCCGGAACAAGAGAGGTTCCAGTAGCTGTGAGGATAGTTTGGGAAGCCACTGAGCAGGGAAGGCTTGGAAGGCCACGGCCAGGAGGTTGGCCTGGGTGTGGGGGTTGAGCGCGTGGACCTGGGACTGAATTCCAGCCCCACTGCGTCCTGGCTGGGTGAGTTTAGGCAGAGCTGGGTCTTTCTCTGAGCCTCAGTTTCTTTTTCTATAAAATAAGGAGCCTAGGGCTCACCGTATGGAGTTCAGTGCGGATTCAATGAGTGAGTGGATTTATTTGATTATTTATTGAACCAACATTGGGTAACTGTGATGTTGGTGATTGGGAATCACATCTGGGACCTAGATCCTGACCTCATGGAGCTTATAGTCTAGTAGGGGGGAAGACAGTAAAGTATTCAGCATGCATATAAGGTATTGATGATACTCTAAAGCAGCGGTTCTCAACCTGTGGGTCACGACCCCTTTGGGGGTCGAAGGACCCTTTCACAGGGGTCGCCTAAGACCATTGGAAAACACATATATAATTACATATTGTTTTGTGATTAATCACTATGCTTTAATTATGTTCCATTTCTAACAATGAAAATACATCCTGCATATCAGATATTTACATTACGATTCATAACAGTAGCAAAATTACAGTTATGAAGTAGCAACGAAAATAATTTTATGGTCGGGGGTCACCACAACATGAGGAACTGTATTAAAGGGTCGCGGCATTAGGAAGGTTGAGAACCACTGCTTGAAAGCAAGCAGGTCAAACTCAAAGGCTAACACCGGCCAAATAAACAAGGTTTAAGTGTATGAGGGCCGCAAAAAACCAAAAGCTTCAATTTTCATAGAAACCTAGGTTTATTTTGATAGAGACACGCCGAATACAAAGGGCTGAAATAAATGAGTCATCGTTAACATAAAATAATAGAACATTGTAATAAAAATTAATATTTTTTCTTGAACATTAACTTACCCGACACTGAATAACTGCACAAATTAATAAGCTTAACACAAAAATCCTATTTTTTTTTCCTTCGAAAGTGAAATATTTCCTGTTGCGCACACCAAACAAGTCAGTCCAAGACTAATGACGTGGCAATTGGCTGCTAAAATATTTGCTGCTAGTATTAGTGGAGAGAAGTGGTGCGCCTGTGCATAAGGTGCGTAAGGGGAAATGAATGCAATACGATTATAGTAATCAGACATTAGTGAACTTTGTAGTTCGTTATTAATAATTATGTGTAACAGGATATTGTAAAAATTAAATGACAAAATTTTTATTAAAGTGTTTCTGCATACAGTTATATTGGCTGGGCCGCAAAAATATTCGTTGTCGGCCCCATGGGGCTTGTGGGCCTCAAGTTTGACATGTTGGCTCTAAAGCAGTGGTTCTCAACCTTCTGGCCCTTTAAATACAGCTCCTCATGTTGTGACCCAACCATAAAATTATTTTCGTTGCTACTTCGTAACTGTAATGTTGCTACTGTTATGAATCATAATGTAAATATCTGATATGTAGGATGGTCTTAGGCGACCCCTGTGAAAGGGTCGTTCGACCACCAAAGGGGTCGCGACCCACAGGTTGAGAACCGCTGCTCTAAAGGAAAATAAAGCAGGCGCTGGATCTGTGTGGGTAGAGGCATTGTTACAAATAGACAGTGTTACAGATGCTTGGGAGGGCCTTCTGAGGAGGCCTGAGCCCGTGCCTGGCGGAGCTGTAGCTGGTGGTTGTAGTGTGCACGTGAAGCGCCAGTGGGAGAATCTGGCTCATAGGAAATGCACAGGCAATGGTGGCTCATGGTCATAGCCCACAAAGGAAAGGGATTAGAGGGGAGATTGGAATCCCAGGGTCGGATGCGGTTGCAGAACAAGAGAAGATTCCTTGGGGCTTGGTGGGTGGAGAAACAGCTGCCAAGCCTGAGCAGACCCAGCTCCGGGAGGTCTTGCACAAATCACTGTCCGGCCTCCACTCCCTCATTTGGAAAACAGGGTGATAGTGCCCACCTTGTTAGGGGGATGTGATCGGCCGAATATGTCCCCTCACAATTTATATGTTCAAGTCCCGACTCCCAGTATCTCTGTATTTGGAAATAAGGTCTTTAAGGAGGTGACTAAGTTAGCCCTAGCTGGTTTGGCTCGGTGGACAGAGCATCAGCCCTCAGACCTAAGGGTCCCGGGTTTGATTCTGGTCAGGGGCACGTACCTCGGTTGGACTGCGGGCTCTTCCCCAGCCTGGGCCCTGGTCAGGGCACGTGCAGGAGGCAACCAATGGATGTGTTTCTCTCACATCGATAGTTCTCTCTGTCTTTCCCTCTCTATTCCACTCTTTCTAAAAATATCCTCAGGTGAGGAATTAAAAAACAAAAAAACAAAGGAAAGAGGTGATTAAGTTAGAATGAGGTCATTAGCATAAGCTAATATGATGGTATCCTTAGAAGAAGAGGAGATTATATACAGACGGGAAACGCTGTGAAGACAGGGAGAAGGCAGCCATCTGCAAGCCAGGGAGAGAGGCCTCAGTAGAAACCCTGATCTCAGACTCCCAGCCTCTACAACTGTGGGGAAATAGATTTCTGTGGTTTAAGCCACCCAGCCTGGTGGCAGCCCTAGCAAACTAACACAGGGTGGTGTATGCAGGGTGATGAATGCAGACAGGCACGCAGGAGGCCCTGCTAGAGCCTGGTTTCCTCGGTCTGGCCACGTGGAGCTTCTTACCTGAGCCTGGGGCCTGACTCTGTAGCCACCGAGTCCGTCTGGAGGTCACTGAGGTGACTGCAGAGTCGCCCACACTGTGCCCCGGGACTGACCCTGACTTGGGACCCAGCTCACTTAATTTCTGCCCTCCCTCTGGTTCATTACTCAGTCAATCCACAAACCTCACGTGGTACCACAGTGGCCATGCTGTAAGTTGTGGCATGACTGGTGCATCAGCGAGGGTCGAGGCTGGAGAATGGAGACCACTCTAGGCATGCCAAACAGAAGGAATGGAATACAGGGAATCATGTACACAGACGCTGGGAGAGCGGAGATGCCAAAGGGCAGGACGAGGCGCCCCGGCATGAGCTCCAGCTCCAGGCCAAAGGGACAGAAGGAGGATGTTGTATGAAGAGCTCCTGGAGGCTAGACCCCTAGTGAGGGCTGCCTGGAGGAAACTGGGACCAGGCAGGGAGGGCCTGTTGGGCAGGGACTGGTTCTCTTTGCTCTCAGATCCATTTCCTGCCCCTGCTTTGCTCTGACTTACAGTGGGGCTGACCTCTGCAGGCTGCATTGCCCATGCTCCAGGTCAGCTGACTCCCCAGTGGCCAATGGGAGGTCCTAGTGGGAGATGGGAGGCCAGAAGGAGGGGAGAAGCCAGAGTATTTCTCCTTCCATCTTGGGCTGCATCCCCGTCAATAACTGAGTGTCCTCCGTGGCTCCAGTCCACTGTGCTTCCAGCTTTGCTGGGGGAGCACAGGCCTCAGGCTCCTGCAACATTACCCCTCCCTCAGTCCCTCCAGCTTAGAGGTGCAATGGCTTTCTGTTACTGCAAGTCTCTGAGCTTCTTGGCAGTCTCTTGCTTGGCTTCTGGGTGCCTCCGTCATTTCTGTGACCACTTCACTGTTGGAAAATCTCTCTGTTTCAGTGTCCAGTGGCTTCCAGGTTAAATGGTGATTGACACAAGGGGAGGATGGGAGAGAAAAGTGGCAAGTGGCCAGCCCAGCAGGCCTTTCCACCCCTCCCCTTTCTTATCGATAAAATCCCAGCAGCCTGTCGGTGGGGAGAGGCAGTGGGTGCTGGGGCATCAAGAGGTGGCCCTAGAGTCAGACAGGCCTCACCCTGTTCCCTCTCTGCCATCGTCAGCTCTGTAAACTTCATCATGTTACTCCCCCTCCGCGGCCTCAGTGTCCTTACCTGTCAGGGGGGGATGAGGATCAGGCCCATCGATTCCGAGCTGTTCTGAGGATTTGATGAGATGCAGCATGGGAAAAACTTAGCCGCAACCTTAAAAAGGAACAGGAAGGAGGAGACGCCTCTATCAGCAGCAAAAAGGCATATGCCATTATGATAAAAAATGGGGTGCTGGTGCAGGGAGGCAGAGCAGGGGTGCAGGAACCGCCCATGCACACGTGAGAAGTGAATACACCATAGAGGCTGCCCCACAACCCAGCTGGGGAAGGAGAGATTGTTCAGAAGATGGTGTGGGAAACCGGCCCCAAATAAAACTGACCTCACACTGCGGACAACGGTGGGCTCTAGAGGGATTGAGACTTAACACGGAGCGCAAACGTTTAAACTAGTAGGAGCTATAGACACAGTGGAATACTATTCATCCACGAAAAAGGAAAATTCGGACACATGGGACAACATGGATGGACCTTAAAAACTGTGATGAATGAAACAAGCCAGTCACAGGATGACAAAGAGTGTCTGACGGACTTCTGTGAGGTGCCTAGAGTAGTCGAACTCACAGAGACAGGAAGTAGATTAGAGGTTTCCAGTGGCCGGGGGAGGCCGAGACGGGGTTTAGTGGGCACAGCAGAGTTTCTGTTTGGGATGATGAAAAGTTCTGGAGATGGATGGTAATGATGGCTGCACAACACTTAATGCCACTAAATGTTTTTACCTTTAAAAATGGCTAAGCCCTAGCTGGTTTGGCTTGGTGGATAGAGTGTCGGCCTGTGAACTCAAAGGTCCCATGTTTGATTCCAGTCAAGGGCACATGCCCGAGTTGCAGGCTCAATCCCCAGTAGGGGGCGTCCAGGAGGTGGCCGATCAATGATTCTCTCTCATCATTGATGTTTCTATCTCTCCCTCTCCCTTCCTCTCTGAAATCAATAAGAGTATATTTAAAAAAATAAAAATGGCTAAAATGGTAAATTTTATGTTACCTATATTTTACCATAATAACAAAGCACCAATATATAAAAAGAAAGAACATTTAAAAATTATGCTAATTACATCAAAATGAAGGAATTCTGGCCAAAGGATCCCCTGGACAAAATGAATAGACAGATATCAGGGTGTGAAGACATTGCAGTGTCTAAAATTGCAGTGCTTAGGACATACAAGGAACTTGCAAGTAAACAACAGAAAAGACAGCAGCAGCCCCAGTGGAAAAAGAACAGCGGATGGGAAGAGCAGTTTACAGAAGGGGAAAACCACAGGCTCATGAAGAAGGCCCAGTCATTAGTGACAGGACATGCAAATGAAAAAAAAAAACAAACAGGAGAGAGTTCTTCACATGTAGGAAACTGGTAAAAATTAAAAAGTTGGACAGTACCAGATTTTCGTTTCAAAATCGCCCTTCTCCACTAACATGAACCTGGGCAGGGCTAAGAAAAATAGCAGTTGATCCTGGAACATCTTGTTGTGCCCCCAAATAAAGAGATGTTCACGGAATAATGGAGCGATGGTAAAAGGACACTGGAGCCAGCTGACAGGGGCTTACACTGGCCAAATATGGGTCAATTGGAGCGTCAAACCAAATAATGGTGATGATGGATTGAGAACCCATGGAATAAAATAAAATCCATACTGACATCTATAATAATAAAAGGGTAATATGCTAATGAGACCAGACGTCCTTCCAGACAACCTTCTGGACGAAGCCGGGGCCGTGAGGGAAGCCTGGGTCCCGGGTGCCGGAGGGAAGCCGGTACGGGTAGCTGGGGGAAGGAAGGCCTACTCTTGCACGAGTTTCGTGCATCGGGCCTCTAGTAAGTGAATAAACAAATAGGTGACTGTGTGACTTTAAGATATACCTCCAAATTTGTTGGCAGTCTTCTCCAGGGGTGGCCTGTAATCCACTTCCTCCTGAGTGGGGCTGGACTCAGTGATTCGATTCTAGTGACTAGATTATGGCAGAAGTGGTGCTGTGCTGGGGAAGTAGGTCACAGAGGCATGTGCTTCCTTCTTGCTCTCTCTGAGCCCCGTGTCTGGGGGAAGACAGCTGCTCTGTCATGAGGACATTCAAGCAGCCCTGAGAAGAGGCCCATGTGGCCAGCACTCGGCTGTCCAATACAATGGCCCCCAGCCACACACCGCATGGCTGTTAGGCACTTACAGTGTGGCTAGTCCACAGTGCATTTCAAAGACAGCATGGAAAAAAGATGTCAAATATCTCGTTAATTATACTGTATATGGAGGACATGTTGAAATGAGGTTTTAGGTATATTGGGTTAAGTAAAATATATTCCTAGAATGAATTTCACCTGTGGCCTTTTTTTAAAAAAATATATTTTATTGATTTTTTACAGAGAGGAAGGGAGAGGGATAGAGAGTTAGAAACATCGATGAGAGAAACATCGATCGGCTGCCTCCTGCACATCTCCTACTGGGGATGTGCCCACAACCCAGGTACATGCCCTTGACCGGAATCGAACCTGGGACCCTTCAGTCCACAGGCCGACGCTCTATCCACTGAGCCAAACCGGTTTCGGCACCTGTGGCCTTTAAAAAAAAATCTTTGAATGTATTTTTATTGATGTCAGAGAGGAAGGAACAGGGAGATAGAAACATCACTGATGGGAGTGAATCATTGATCAGCTGCCTCTTCCACGCCCCACACTGGGGGATTGAGCCTGCAACCCAGGCATGTGCCCTGACTGGGAATTGAACTGTGACCTCTTGGCTTATAGGTCGACACTCACCCACTGAGCCACACCAGCCAGGCTCACCTGTGGCTTTTTAAACCGTAGCCACCAGAAAATTTAAAATGCAACATAAACACATGACTCACATTATATTCCTCCTGGATGGTGATGCTCCAGCCCCAGGTGAGCTTTCAGATAACCAGCCCCAGCTGACACCTTGACTGCACCTTCACAGAGACTTGAGGCCAGAACCTTCCAGCCAGACCACTCCTGAATTCCTGACCCACAACAAACAGTGAGAAAATGCTGATTATTTTAAGCTGCTAAGGTTGGAGGTCATTTGTTACACGGCAATACATTGACTGAGGCAAGCATATAAGTGGATGTTAAAATCAGTGGGTGGCTCAGTGGTTGAGCATTGACACATGCACCAACAGGTCGCTGGTTCTATTCCCGGTCAGGACACATGCCCCGTTGCGGACTCGATCTCCAGTGTGGCGCGTGCAGGAGGCAGCTGATCGATGATGTTTCACTTTCATCATTGTTTCTACCTCTCCCTCCCTTGCTCCCTTCCTCTCTCTCTAAAAATCAATAAAAACATATTTTAAAAAACCAGTGGGTGAAGTTGGAGGAATAACACTATGCTTAAATAGTTTAAAAATATCTCCCCATAGCAACGCAAAGGTGTGGAGGAAACGTTGGACAGACCCACTGGAGGGACATTCTACAAAGGAACTGGCCTAAACTCTTCAAAAGTTTCAAGGTCATGAATGAGAAAGAAAGACTGAGGAACTGCTCCCAACTAAAGGAGACCAGGGCCGCTACATGCAGACTTGGTTGCAGACATCAGTACCCGTCACCCCTAACCACTTCAGCATTAGCTCGAGGTCAGTATTTGTTCCTCTGTCTGTAAAACTTACATTCCGTGAAATGCACACGTCTTAGGTGTACTTTAGATTATTTTTGACAAATGCATCTACCGGTGTTATACAAACTCTTTCCAAGATATCAAACATGAAGGGAGTTGAACTGTGTCCCTCAAAAATATATATTCAAGCCCCAACCCTTGGTACTTGTGAATAGAACCTTACTTAAAAATAGCGTCTTGCAGATATAACTGAGTTAAGATGAGGTCATGCTGGATTAGGGTGGGCCCTAAACCCAACGACTTTATAAGAGGAAGGAGAAGATTTGAACACAGACACACACAGGGGGAAGAGGGCCATGTGAAGACAGGCAGAGATTGGAAGGATGTACCTTCAAGCCAAGGACTGCTGGCAGCCACCAGTATCCGGAGAGGCAAGGAAGGATTCTTCCTGAGAGCCTTCAGCGGGAGCACGGCCCTGGTTTCAGACTCCTGGCCTGCAGAACTGGTGGAGAGTAAATGTATGCTGTGTTAAGCCACCTAGTTTGTGGCTTTGCCATGGAAGCCCTGGGAAAGTAACACAGAACAGTACCTTGGGCCCCTGCCCAGTCAGTCCTGCCCAACCCCAGCTAAATTTTCCAGCGTAGATTAATCTCACTTATTCTAGAGCAGTGGTTCTCAACCTTCCTAATGCCGCGACCCTTTAATACAGTTCCTCATGTTGTGGTGACCCCCAACCATAAGATTATTTTCGTTGCTACGTCATAACTGTAATTTTGCTACTGTTATGAATCATAATGTCAATATCTGATATGCAGGATGTATTTTCATTCTTACAAATGGAACATAATTAAAGCATAGTGATTAATCACAAAAACAATATGTAATTATATATGTGTTTTCCAATGGTCTTAGTCGACCCCTGTGAAAGGGTCATTCGACCCCCAAAGGGGTCGCGACCCACAGGTTGAGAACCGCTGTTCTAGAGCGTCATGTCAGTGGAATCATGCAGCAGGTATTCTTTTGTGTCTGGTATCTTGCACTTGGCACAAGATTTTGGCGTCACCCAGATTGTGCATCCAGTGGCTGGCATGCCTATAACTAAAGTCAATTTGCTGGGGGCGGGGTGGGGGGAAGCAGATTTTGTAAGGAGAGGAGTGGACAATGAAGGTGGGAAATTTCTCATAAAAGGCGGGCTTGGAGCCTCCTGCCCTGGGGTCTCTGGCCCAGACCTACCCCTCTTTCTCAGCTCAGGAAGCAACTGGGGAGGTTGGAGGGTGGGCTTCATCGCCACCTGGTGGCCCTTCTAGACAATGCAACCACAAATGCCAGCACTGGGCCCGCTGGGTCGGGAGATTGTGGGATCAGGCAAGTGTTTATCTTCTTGGGTTGGGTCCCCAGATCACTGAGCACCTACTCAGCACCTGCATGATTCGTGTGTGTGTGTGTGTGTGTGTGTGTGTATTGAGCTGACCTCCAGGGGCTCCCAGGAGAGTGAGATTACACACAGCTAACGCTAGTAGGGGCGGAATAAGATCCTAGAGGCAGGAAGTGTAGAGAGTGCAGAGAAAGAGGGGGGAAATTTGACTTAGGACATTCAGGGAAAGTTTCTGTGGGTATTTCTCAGCTGGAGGTGAAAGGGAAGGGTGTTGGAGGCAGAGGAACAGCACAGGCAAAGGTGTGGAGGCAGGACCATGCAGTGTATGGCTTTCTAAACTCAAACAAATAATAAGGTAATACCTACTCCTGGGGAACATTTTAAAGTTAGGAGTGGAGGTGGGTCTTGCTCCCACCTCCCACCTCCTACCTCAGGCCCCCAGTCCTTCTCTTGTGGTAGACTTACTGTAGGGGCTCCCCGTGAACCAGCCGCCCGGTATGCGCCCCTTTTATCCTCTCCTGCCCTTGCTTCCAAGCTGACCGATGGCTGTGATAGAAATGGCGGTAGGCCAGTTTGGGGCTTAAGCTTAAAGAAGGCCTAGTAGCTTTGCAGCTTCCACTTCTGTGCTCTGGGGGGTAAGCTAATTGCTGTGTAAGAAGTGTGGCTACTGTGCTGGGGAGACCACGTGGAAAGGCCACATGGAGGCACAGCTTGGACCGTGTGCAGGGAACATGTAGAAAGCCACGTGAAGATACCTTGTGAAGAGGCTCCCTGAGCAGAAGTCTCTTGGAGAGACCACATGGGGAGGGAGAAACTGGGTGATGGAGGCCCGAGGAACTGAGAAACAGGACTGAGCTGGGGTCATCCATGCAGAGCTGCCACACGTGGGAATGCAGTCACCTTGGGCGTTCCCGCCAGCAGCCAGCAGAGACAGACTGTCCCCGGGTGCCTTGTCCAAATTCTTGCCCCACAGGGTGGTGGTGGTTTTAAACCACTAAGTTTTGGGGTATGTTATTACACAACAATATTCAGAACGTCCTGGGCCCTAGCCTGTCACTGTTGCCAGTTTCTTACAGCCCTCCCAGCGGGAGACTACATCCTCAAACAAACACGAGTAAATTCCCGCATCTCCCCTCAGTTCTGTGGGGGTTGGCACACCACACATCCTGGCCTGCACTTGGCCTTTTTCCCCCACTTGACAATAGATCTTAGAGAGGGTTCTAGATGTGTGCTGTTCAGGACAATAGGCACTACCCACAGGCTATTTAAATGTAATTAAAATGGAACAAAATAAAAAGGCCCGTTCCTCAGTCACACTAGCCACATCTCAAGCACTCGGTGGCCACATGTGGCTGGTAGCTCCTATATGGCACAGGACAGCTGTAGATGTCCCCATCGTCCCAGACACGTGTAGGGGATAGCGCCGGCCGGGTCCTCTCCTTCAGAGATGGCTCAGTCGTTTTAGCAGCGGCACAGTATTTTCTGGTAACAACAGCTTCTGCTATTACAGCGTCCATTTGTCTTTGGGTAGGTGTGAGTATCTTGTAGTATAAATGCCCAGCATCCCGAGGCCCAGTGATATTTCCCATTTAAAAAATATATATTTTTATTGATTTCAGAGAGAGAGAGAGAGAGAGAGAGAGAGAGAGAGAGAGAGAGGAGAGAGAAACATCAACATTGATTGGCTACCTCCTACACTAGGGATTGAGCTTTCAACTCAGGCACATACCCCAACTGGGAATCGAACCGGCAACCTCCTGGTTCATGGATCGACGCTCAACCACTGAGCCACACCAGCCGGGCCGATTTTAATAGCCATGGCAGATTACTTAAAGCTGGAGGTTGTACCGCTCTGCACCACCACTGAAAGTGTGCAAGAGAACCTGTTTTCACCCACCTTCATCAACACTGTGTTGTTCACATTAAACAAACGGGGCTGCTGTGAGGGTTTTAAAGGGACACGGGACTCTGCCAGGACCCTTCGGCCTCGCCTCCTTCCACGTCACAGTGCCACCGGGATCTTTCCGTGCGGACATACGAAGACCTACCTTGCTTGTTTTCAATGTGTGGTAAAGTTCACATAACATAACATTTCCCATCTTAGCCACTGTTAAGTGGACAGTTCGGTGGCCTCAGGGACGCCCTCACTGTTGCGCAGCCATCCCTGCCACCCATCGCTGGAACTTCTTCATCTTCGCAAACTGAAACTCTATACCCATTAAACACTAACGCCCCATCCCAGCCCCTGGCAGCCACCGTGCTACTCTCTGTCTCTGTGAATCTGGCTGCTCTGGCACCTTTGTTGTCCTTTTGTGACTGGCTTACTTCACTCAGCATAATGACTTCAAGGTTCACCTATGCCCGTGGTCGGCAAACCGAGGCTCGCGAGCCACATGCGGCTCTTTGGCCCCTTGAGTGTGGCTCTTCCACAAAATACCACGTGCGGGCACGCACGTACAGTGCGATTGAAACTTCGTGGCCCGTGTGCAGAAGTCGGTATTTTGTGGAAGAGCCACACTCAAGGGGCCAAAGAGCCACATGTGGCTCGCGAGCTGCGGTTTGCTGAACCGCAGTTTGCCGACCACTGACTATGCTATACCATGTTCATTCCTTTTTAAAAAAGACTAATATTTCATTGATGTACAGACCACATTTATTTATTATTTACACAATTACAAATGTCCCCCATATCCCCCTCCCCCTTTACCCACCTCTACTCAGCGCCACTACCTCCCCCGACGCTGGCCATCACCACACTGCTGTCTGTGCCCATGGGCTATGTATATATATTATTTTGTTGTTGTTGGAGGGAGAGAGAAACATTGAGACAAGTCAGTTGGCTGCCTCCTGCACGCAGTGTGGATCAACCCGTCAGTGCGAAGGCTGACACCCTAACCACTGAACACACTGGCTAGGGCACATATATGTTCTTTAATCTCTAGACCACATTTTGTTTATCCATTCACACATCGATGGATACTTGGTTCGCTTTCCCCTTTTGGCGATTGTGAATGCTGCTGCTATGAACACGGGCATGCAAATATCTGTTTGAGATCCTGCTTTCAATTCTTTTGTGTCTATGCCAGGGGTGGGCAAACTTTTTGACTCGAGGGCCACAATGGGTTCTTAAACTGGACCGGAGGGCCGGAACAAAAGCATGAATGGAGTGTTTGTGTGAACTAATATAAATTCAAAGTAAACATCATTACATAAAAGGGTACGGTCTTTATTTTATTTTATTTTTTTAGTTTTATTCATTTCAAACAGGCCGGATCCGGCCCGCGGGCCATAGTTTGCCCATGGCTGGTCTATGCCCAGAGTGGGGTTGTTGGCTCATATGGTAATTCTACGTTCCCCTTTCTGAAGAACAGCCACACTGATTCCCATAGCGGTGGCACCGTTTTACATTCCCACCAACAGTGATAAGACTTTCAGTTTCTCCATAGCTTCACCAATACTTTTCTGTTTTTCTTGATAGCAGCCAACCTAGTGGGTGTGAGGTGGCCTCGTACTATGGTTTTAATTTGCATTTCCTTAATGATTAGTGATGTTGAACATCTTTTCATGTGCTTTTGGGCCATTCATGCATCTTCTTTGGAGATGCATCTTCTATTTTGTCATATGCCATGTTAAGTTGGGTTTTC